GCGTGGTAAAGAAGAGAGAACATTTTAGCGCATTGGTGATCCTTAGCATATATAGATCCTAGGAGATTTGTCGAAATAACGTATTTTTTTATTATTAGAGCACCTTAATACTCTCGAATCAGTGTCTATAGAGCGATGCCAACCCAACACTACTGATGTACTGGGAGTTGCATTCTCTTTCTAGGGCTATGAAGGTCATTCAATTGTTTGGTAGTTCCTTCCACCCAGGGTAATGCTCTCTTCCCCGAGCCAACGTGTCTTGGAAGACATCCAACATTTGATCATTGAACTTCAGGATTTGTTGGTTCACAAACTCTCTCATGCACTCCATGTTGTTGGTGTCATTGTTGTGGTTTCTTCTCTGTGGGTTGCTCCTCTTATTGTTTATGGCATGAGCCACGTTCACTACAACTTTTAGGATGCTTAATTTTAATTTGTTCATTAATCACACCCCATTGAATAGAGCATAAGAAAGGAGATGGACATATAGAGAGAGATAGAGAAAAGAATGAACAATAATGAACAGTAAATCATATCAATTGTGTTGACATTTTTAATTCTTTTTGACTACTTTTGTTATATTGTGTTCATAGAATGATTTCCATATTTGTATGGGAGTGAGCACAATATTGTGATATTAAATTTTTGTCGTTATTTTAATATATGATATACAAGATATTCTATCTATTTTACATATATGAGCCAATTAATTGGTTGCTCTCTAGCTCAGTCGACTAAGCTTAATTGGCTTCGACTCAGTAGGGTCAGGTTGTTCGGCTAGGCTTACTCGGCGTTGCGAGTCGGCTGAGCTTGATTGCCTTCGGGTTAGCGGGACAGGTTCAGTTAGCTGAGTTTATTTGGTTGTCGACCTTTGATAATATATGAGGGAGATATGGTAAAATTGGAGATGTTCAGGGGCCCAAACTTTCCTCAGGTCGGTTTCTTCATCTCAGCTAGCTTGGATGTCTCTTTGTCATATTTCTGATCGAACGACTTGGATTCAGATCATTCAGTCGTCTTTCATGTTTCAGTCGAACAAGTGGATCTCGTAGTCTTCTGTCAGTGTAACCCCTTTTCAATGTACAACTACAAATATAAAAAAAGTAAAGTTTAGTTGTTAGACCTCCAAATACATAGGTATTGGATGGAAAGCAAGTTGAGAATTTTGTTGTTTTTATGGAGGGTGCTGACCCAAGTCATAGATCACATTTTGAATATTTTAAATTAAGTTTTATTTTCCCACTTTAAAAAATGCTAAAAGAAAATGGAGTTATTACATAATAAAAATCTTTAATAAATCAACAATATTAATCAATAAAATAAAATTCACTTTTACTTTTTCAAGGTGAAATTGTGGTGGTAAATCATTGCAATTTATTAATTATTATTTAGATTTATTTAACCTGAAATTACGCTTTAGTTATTTAGATCTCCACCCGGATACAGCTTGAACTTTGGGCGGCACGAAGAAAAAGTTTGAAAAGTCTATGACCCAAAAAAAAAAAAAAAAAAAAAAAAAAAAATCAAATGATTTGTCAACTCTTTAAGGCCATATTTGGCGCAGCTGCAACTTATTGAATAATTTGCTAATAAGTTGATTAAAAATAATCTGCTGATAATCTAGGTGCGGTTGTTATTGCAAATTTTTTAATTTTTTTGAAATGTCAAATCGCAGCCAGAAAGCTTCAACCGCACCTAGATAGACGCGTTTTTAAAACGCATAAACTACCAAAATGCAGTTTATCCAAACAGGCGAGATGTGCTTTTAAAACGTCACCACACCAAATAAGCTGCTCCAAACGGGACCTAATAAGAGAATAAATATTTTTTTTAATTTCAATCCTAATTGAAACAATAGATAAATAATTGTGAGATTTACATAAATACAACTTATTCTTATTTCAATATACTCCATAAAATTATATCTATTTATTTAACTTTTTAACATTTAAATTGCATTAAAATGACACTAATATTAATTTATTAGTGTTGTATAAGGAAATATATATATTTAAAAAATAGATATGTAAATACATGAGAATCACTCCTAAAAATTTTAGTCACCTAATATTTTTCCAAAGGAAAGTCATTATTTATATTATTTTTTTACCTAATCTTATTTATTTGTAGAAAAAAGACTTCACTGCGAATAAAATATGAGCAAATAATAATTTTTATTTTATTTAGGTAAACAATTGTACATATCAACAGCTTATATTGATTTGCTTACCACATTCATTACATATTTAGATGAGTTCACTCATTGATTTGTTTACCGCATTCACGACTGGATTTTTTGTGGACTAAAACCGATAGGTAACTGATCAGGGGCTCGCAGTTTTTTATTAATATATTAAAAACTGACTAACAGATTGGTTAGAATGTCGTCAATTAGTGTTAATATATCAGACTGAGACTGAAAGCCTCTCATTTCTTCTTCCCTCGTGCGTGTGTGCTCTGAGCCGATCGACGCAATCGACCTCAATTCCTTTCCAAACTCAACACTTAATCCCCAAACTCAACGGGTTTTCATTTTTCTACTTTCAAATTAAAAGTATACTCGATTTTCACTCTTCAAAAAGTTATTATTATTATTATTTTAACCGTTAGATTTTTTGTATTTGAGATTTTTGGGTTTTGAAAAATTCCAAAAATTGATTTAGTTTTCTATGATGTTTAATAGTCTAACTTCATTCTACTTAAGAGATTTCACACATTCGACGTAGAGCTAACTGGAAAAACGTAGGTAATGTAGATTACAATTTCTTTATTATAAAGCTAATTATCTTCTTTTTTTTTAAGATTTATCCATCTGTGTTGGTTGTTTGACACCCTATACTTATCGTGGAAGCAGATTCTAATTAAACTACGGGATAAGTGGTTCATAAAGTTTGAGGCAAACCTAAAACATTAATCTTAAATTATATAATTTTCTCCATCTAACGTATTGATATTCGTTATGTAGAAGAAGTTCTCCTGGTAGCCCGAGCATCATGCCCATATTAAGAGTGTTTTGAGTTTAGAGGGTTCACCGGTCGGTGCGATATGTTCGCTGAGATGCACGAGATGGGTCAATGCCCTTTGTGGCTTAGGAAGGACGTCTACATACAATTGCAGAGAGCGTGAGACACTCCTAACTATGTTAAAAAAGTCAACATGTGGATCGTGAGAGCATGGGTGCCTTCCTACACAATGGAGGGGTGATCCTATATACGGAGTACAAATGGAGAATGATAAGAGTTATTTTGAGCATTAAATCTTAGTGAAAAATATTTATTTTAAATTTTTTTTCTTATCTTAACAGACACTGTAGCATGGAAGAGTATCCACCATCGCTAAGCTACATGCTTGAACGCATCACCATTAGTTCGACCACCAGTCGGTCAACACTAGATCGTAGAGAGCGCGTGTAAGTAGCAAAGCAATTTTTTTATCATTGCAATTATTCTGAAATTAAATTCTGCCTCTAACCATCATTTATAAGTTTTTTTGGCAAGAGGAGTACGAGCGGCTGAAGGAGGCTATGAAACAAGGAGTTTATATCCTTGGTGGCGATTTTGATCAGTCGGAATATGAGCTTTGGAAATAAGTCATTGGGGGTAAGAAGATAGAAATGGTCAATGGTTTGGGCTCACAGAGACATGCATGCAACGCACAATGCATCTTTTATGGGAAAAGCACTACATCTATCAAGGGAGATGAACTTTGCAGCTAGGTTCCGCATTCTTTGAAGATGTAGATGCTCGATTTGCCACACAGCTTCGTAAGACAAAGCCGAGAGTGAAGATGGAATTAGAGGAGGTGCAACGTGTCGCTTGTCGAGGAGGTAAGCGGCTAATGGAGGTGGATGAGGAGAAGGATAAGCAGAACGATGATAAGTACTTTTGTTGTTATTTCATTTATTGTTCTGGGATATTTATGTACTTGTTATGTACTGATTATTTCATTTATTGTTGTTTAATACAAGTGATTGTATTTATTTTCAATTTGTGGTTGTATTTATATGGTTCTAGTTTAGTAACAATGCAGATACCTAAATTAGATTGTGTGTTGTATATTCCATGTATTTTTGTGATCTTATTGCGGGAGTATAAATTCTAATGAATCAAAGGAGGCTCTCTTTTTTTTTCAACTAAAAATTTCCAATAGCCAACAGGCTATTGATATCCCTAAATCGACGGACAATGACTATAAAATCTTAAACTAACGACTCACCGTGAGCATTAAACTGTCAGAAATTACATTGATAGGAGCTACTAAAAAAAATGGCTTGTTAGAAAGTAATCGTAAATTGTCTTCCCGATGTAAGAAAAGCGTCATCAAAGTGTCTGTCGAAGAGCCGTCATAAACTTTAATAATCAACAGCTAAATCAAAGTTTCTTACCGGTGTTAAACACCAGCAATAACATAAAATCATGTACTGAATGTATAGTTATTTAAGAAATGTACAATAACTACATTTCTACTTAAAATAAACAAAAACAACAAAATGCACATTCTATTCACATTAAATTATCAGCATAATGCTTATATATCATTTCCAATGTTATAAGAGAATAAAATTAAGAAATGGGCCAAAAAATTATTATGTACTTGCACATCTAACATGTAAATCTTCCTTAAGAAAAATGATTTAATACATAAAAGAAGAATTTTTTCCTCATCCTCCTATTGAGCATTCAAATTAAAACAATGACAGGGAAAATCTAAACAAATGAGAAATAGAATAAAAAAATCAACTTTAGTTCCGGCCATGAGTAAACTGATCTGAGGAAGAGGTTAACAAAATATGGCCAATTTACGACCGCGGTTGCGGTTGTTGTCTGCGAGAATCCGTGTGAGGAAGACTGCCCCTAATTGTATTGGGCGGTGCGGGTCCCTCGAAGAAAACACGTTGGGTGAGCAGCGGCCTTCTCATTCTTTATATCCTCCCCAAAACCCCTCCTCCCTATTTAAGAAGAAGGCCATTCGTTAGTTTAAATCACAAAACCGTCGTCTCTTATGTTTTTTCTGCTTACTTTCTCTCGACAATCTAAAAACCTCACCTTGTGTTCAATCCTCCATCTTCCGTGTCTTTTTCTTTCTTCTTGTCATGGAAACTTGAGAGGACAGGTTTGTAATTTGTTTTTTTGATATCAATGTGGGTGGATTCAGTTGGGGTTCCTTTTTCTATTTCGTGTGATCCTGATTTGATTAGGAAGGTGGTGGCTTTTGCTTGGGTTCTATTGTTCTAGGGATTTTTGGTTTAATGGGTTGATGAACACTTCTGATTGCTTTTGTTTCAATGGATTGAAGTTGAAGAAATATTGGAGAACCTTATTAGTGTTTAGGATGTTTAAAAGTTGGGATTTTTAATAGGGAGTGATCTAAAATCACTTGTAGAGGAACATGTAGGATCTTTTGAAAGACCAATCCTTTTCCTGTTTCCATTGAGAATAAATTTTCCTTCTTTTTTTTTTTTTCTCTTATAATGAACTTAAATTAATCTTTGTCTTACAGGCTTAACAAGCAGAGAAAGATATCATCTTTGGTTCCATTCTTTCTTTCCAAGATAATGGGATTAGCATTTTCATGCCCTGGCTGTGAAACGAATCAATTGGATGAGAGCTTCGATGCGCTATTGGGATCCATTCGTTTCAGTGGAGACTATGCAAAATCAAGTCTTTGTTCCGGAAATCACAACTGCTATGATGCAGAGCCCAATCTGTTGAAAGCTTTTGGCTCTGGAAAATTTATCGTTGAGGGACCTTTGAATTTGAAAAGAAAGGAAACCGATCCGTTCCACATGGAAAAAAAGAGCTCCTATGCCGAATCCGAAATCTTCACCAAGTCAAACTCAGCCAAGCGCACGAGGTTCAGCGAAGAAGCAACGGAGACGCCCCGAGCCGACGAGCCCGGTAGCCCGAAACATGATGCTGCTGTAAAGTTGCAGAAGGTTTACAAAAGTTTCAGAACAAGAAGACAACTTGCTGATTGTGCTGTTTTGGTTGAGCAGAAATGGTACGAGCATGAGCAATTTCTTGTTTGAATTCTTCTTGTTTCGTTGTATTTTACTTGTTTTATATGCCGTTGAGTTTCTTCAAGCATCTTATATTGCATCTTTGACTCTGCCAACCGCAGGTGGAAGTTGTTGGATTTCGCATTGCTTAAGAGAAGCTCTGTGTCCTTTTTTGATATTGATAAGCCGGAGTCAGCGGTCTCCAAGTGGTCAAGAGCAAGAACCAGGGCTGCTAAGGTAATATACTTAATTCAAATCTAATTAAATGATAAAGTTTTGTTTTTTTTTCTCGAGAGCAAGAACCAGGGATGAAATTTGCATTTATGTTTCTGATTTATGACTATCTTTGTAGGTTGGTAAAGGTTTATCTAAGAATGCAAAAGCCCAAAAGCTCGCTTTGCAGCACTGGCTGGAGGCGGTATGTACTATAACTTCCATAAAGTTTGCATTTTTCTTGTCTTTAATTTGCAGCAATTAGTTTATATTGTTTTTCTTGATTTATTCTGCAAACAGATTGATCCGCGGCATCGATATGGTCATAATCTCCACTTCTATTATGATTGCTGGCTTCGTTGTGAAAGCAAGCAGCCCTTCTTCTACTGGTAGGCTGAATTAAGATGCTTGACAATTTTTTCCTGTTATTTATCGTGTATTTGTGCTAAGGATAAACAATTAAAAATTTGCAGGCTTGATGTGGGAGAGGGGAAGGAGGTAAATTTAGAATCTTGTCACAGATTAAAGCTTCAACAGCAGTGTATCAAGTATCTTGGCCCGGTGAGTGTACATCTCTGCAAATTGCATTGGGATAGTGATGAAGAAACTTTTATGTAATAGAAATTTGAAGATCAACATTTCTGTTGTTCTGCAGAAAGAAAGGGAGGCTTATGAGGTTATTGTTGAAGAAGGTAGACTACTTTATAAGAAAAGTGGGGAGATACTTGACACAACTGGAGGTCCAAAAGATTCAAAATGGATATTTGTGCTGAGCACATCAAAGAATTTATATGTTGGCTTGGTAAGTATAGAGGCATCAAATACGCATTAAATTTTTATTTATTTTTATGAATTATAATGATATATTTTTTGCTGATTGCAGAAAAAGAAAGGTCGGTTTCAGCACTCCAGTTTTCTTGCTGGAGGAGCAACATCTGCTGCTGGAAGGCTAGTTGTAAAAAATGGAGTTTTGAAGGTAAAAACACCATAAATTTTACATTTTTTTTATCACTGCGGATTGCATTCCCGATATATTGGAGTACTGATTTTATTCCATTTGATAGGCTGTTTGGCCACATAGTGGGCATTACCGCCCGACCGAAGAAAACTTTGAGGAGTTCATTAGCTTTCTGGAGGAAAACAATATCTCTCTCTCTGATGTTAAGGTCAATAATCATACTTCAAAAACACTTTTTTTCTTCCCCATAATGATTTTAAACTTCAACACATGGCTCAAATCCTTCTTCCAACCTATGCAGAAAGCCCCAGATGAAGGTGATGATGAATGGGGAAGCATACTCCGAACTTCCAACTCCTCATCAGACCTGACTAATTCTAATGTCTACACTGAATCCCAGCTCGAATCCGAATTCCCAAACTCCTTCGAAGAATTAGATACCGAAGCTGCAGCTAAAGATTCAAGCTCTACCAATGAGAGAAACCGAGTCGAATTGGATATCAAAATCTGCAGTTTTGATAAAAAGACTAATTTTACGGATGACCAAACAAGTGATGGAGAAGAAGAAAAGGGATCAGACAGCAGCTCCACATCAAATCAGAGCTATGATACACCAGAACAATCTGGAGACGAGTCTGCGGAGAGCTCATCTCCCTCAAAAAGAAAGCTAATATTCCACAAACCAAGTATTTTCATAGAGGATAAAGAAGAATATGGTGATGATGAACCAATGCCTGAAGAGCTCATCATTGAAAGGATTAGCTCCAATAAAGTTTGCCAATTGGGAACAAAATTGCCTTTCAAGTGGACCACCGGCGCCGGAGCTCGCATCGGTTATGTGAGGAACTATCCCTCTGAGCTGCAATTCAGCGCGCTCGAACAAGTCAGTCTCTCTCCCAGAGGGTCTGGTATTTCAAGGCCGTTTTCTCCCATGCGCATTTAAGGAGAAAATATTGAGAGATAGTTACATATTCTTATAGATTGAAACCAAATTCTTAGGCAAGTTAGAATATTTGTTGTGATTCAGATTCAGTTCATTCCTCAAAGAGGAAAAATAAGATTTATTGCATTTGTAACAATTTTTTTCTGTTAGTAAATATTTAGAAGAGAGAGATACATTTTACTTCAAAGAGAAAGGAGTTATGCAATATTCTCTTGCCCTCATATCATTCACGCAGTTAACCTACGTGTATTGCTCATTGATTTGGCTTTTGTTGTGGATTTGGGCTTCGTTTGATCAAGCTTTCTTTCTATTAAAATTTGTTTAAAAGTTGTTTTTTGTAAAATTCGTGTTTTAAAGCTATTCGGAAACAGCAGTAATTGCTGAAAATAATATGGAGGTTTTTCAGTAGTGTTTTCTATAGAAGTATTACAGCCAAACAGAAGTTTTCAACGTTCTGCGGAACAAAAAGTGGTATCAAAACTCTTCCAAAGTGCTGGTAAGGATTTGATTTTGAGTCGAGTTGGGGTTGGCTCGAATGGATTTGATGAGGTTTGAAATCGGCTCGTGGCTCTTTATATTTGATGTCGAGCAGGTTGAGCGAGCTCGAAATTGAAATGAGTTGACTAAAATTGAGCTATTTGGATCCGTTTTAGCTTGAAAAACGGCTCTATCGAGCTCAAAATTAAAACTAAGTGCCTCAAATTTAATTGTTTGGATTCATTTCAACTTCATATCGGCTCAAATTGGATCGTGACTTGTTATGTTCAATTTTACTTGACATTATATGTATGTATACACACACACAAACACATAATTTTTATAAATAAAAAATACTACGAGCCGATCTCGAGTCAGTTCAAGTGGATCCATGCAAGACTTGAAATTGGCTCAGAAAAAAGTTGATCCAAAATTTCAACTACTAGATCAACTCATTTATTTCGATCTGATCTCAATTCGAGTCAAAAATTCAAATGCGATGAACAATCAACTATTTAAATTTACAGACCTGCAAACATAATCTTAATTAAAAATTTGTTTTCATATTATATTTTCTTATATCAAGAGAAAATTTAATTGAATAGCATATGCAACATTGTCTGCCATTTGCACTTAATAATTATTTCACTTTTGCTGTTTTTTATTTATTTATTTTTAATTTATGTGATGCCATTTGTTGATTTTCATATTAGATATGGAAGGAGATTTATTTTAAGTGAGAAATACAAAAAAAATATTTGTTTTGTTTATTTACATTATAATTATTATTATTTAAATATGGGGTATTTATCTGATTATAAAGATTTTTTAAAATATTTACATACCTTACAAAGACCTTAATATTTATTTATATACCATCCAAAATTTTAAAATCACATCAAAAAAAGCCACCAAACTATTTGGGAGAAATTTTTTTATTTTTTGCTTTTGTGGCAAATTGGCGCATCTAACTAGGGCTGTCGAAACGGCTTGTTGTTCACGAACAGCTCATGTTCGGCTCGTTAAGAAACTCGTGTCCGGTTTGTTCGCTAAGTTAACGAGACGAACATGAACAACATGAACAAATATTTGTTCTTTCGTGTTCGGCTCGTTTTGGCTCAAAATATTACTAATCAATTATATATATATA